ATGCTGATGCCATGTCCAAGGAGGATGTGCGCAGGATGGAGGATACGATCCGCCAGGTGCAGGAGTCGGTGGCTAAATTGCCAAGTCAAGTGCCGCTTGCTTCGATGGAGGATGCGCTCGAGAAGATCCAGGCGACCGTTTCAGAGATGTCGACGCGTGATCCGCCTTTCCGCCAGCCGCGCGAGCCGAGGGTGCCGAGCGAGAATGATGAGCCTGCCCTCAGGGAGGATGTCGAGGCTATTGAGACGATTCTTCGCAACACCAAGGCCCGTCTGGACGATCTTATTGACGGCGAGCAAGGTGTTCGCAAAGATCATATTGATGCGCTTGAGGCGCTCATCCTCGAGACGAGGGAGTCGCTTGCTGGTTTGGTTAGCCATGTGGATACGCTCTCCAAGAAGGATAATATCGATGCCTTGGAGACGCTCATCCTCGAGACTAGAGAGAGCGTGGGTGGCGTGGCTAGCCAGCTGGAGATTGTCTCTCAGAAGGAAGATGTTCTCAAGGTTGAGTCGCTTGTCAATCAGGTTGTGGCTGCTTTTGACGAGATGAAGGAGCGGCATGAGAAGGCTCTGGATGACCCTGAGAGAATCACCAAGACGGATGTCGACGCTGTCGAGGCGGTTTGTCTTGATACCAAGGTCTTGATTGAGAGCATCATGAAGGCTGATTTGGCTTCGCTGCCGACCAAGGAGAATGTGGAGCAGCTGGAGTTGCAGTTGCACGAGTTGAAGGAATGTATGGATTTCCATGCGCTGGATGCGCAAAAGGCTACGGAGGACAGGCAGGCGGAGATTGTCGGGGTTGGGGAACGGGTTGGGGAGGTGAAGGCTATTCTGGAGGATTTCCATGGGGTGTTGAGGGGGAAGTTGGAGGAGGGGGCGAAAGGGGTGGATTCGATTCATTTGTTGCTTGATGGGTTCAGCACTACTATCCGGGAGGCCATTGCCAAGAACGATACTGTTGGCGATGACTTGAAGGTTATGCTTGATGCGCTCAAGACTGATGTTGAAGAGTCAAAGGCTAGCTTTGTTGGTGCTAATCTCGAGGCGAGCGACAAGGTCCAGGCTGCTAGCGAGGTGGTCATTGCGAAGTTGGATGAGCGGGTTGCTGATCTGATGAGCAAGTATGATGAGTTTCAGCTTCTTCATGAGGAGAGGGCGGCTAAGGTTGAGGAGAGGGATGCGAATATGGAGGCGGCTGTGGTGGGCAACAAGGCTATTGCTGAGGAGCTCAAGCAGCTGGTTGATACCCTTGGCTCTGCTGTTACCGACTCGATGGAGAGGATGGAGGAGGCTTCCAAGACTGTGTTTGAGCGGGTTGCGACGCTTGTTGAAAAGTCTGATGAGAGTCAGCTTGAGGCCAAGACTGAGCACTCGCTTACTCGCGAGACGGTGCAGGAGGCTATCACCAAGGTTAGCAGTGTCAACGATCAAGTTGCTGAGTACCAGCCCAAGATTCTTCAGACGCTCGAGGACTTTGTGGCGGTTGTTGGTCAGCATTATGAGCAGCTCCACACCAAGGCTCAGGCGATTCAAGAACGTGTTGATCAGCCTGTTGAGAAGTACGATGATACTGCTGTCAATGAAAAGCTTGATGTTCTTGTTGGCCACACCGAGGTTGCTGACAAGGCTTTTGAGCGGCTTGATACCCTTGATGAGGTTCATTCACAGGTCAAGGCTACTGCTGCTGAGCTCGCTGTTTTCATTGCTGCTCAGACTCAACGCATTGCTGATGAGCATGAGGACAAAGAGAAGACACTGCAAGAGACCATTGTTGCTCTGGAGCGTAAGCTTGAGGAGAAGCAGCAAGTGGAGGCTCAGATTTCCGATCTTCGCGAAGAACAGGAGCGCCTCAAGCAGTACATTTCCGTCACTCTTCCGCAAGAACAGGAGCAGATCACCATCGCCTTCATGTCCAACCTTCAGAGCGAGGAGGCCCGGCTCAAGGAGACGATTGCATCCCTTAAGGAGGAGCAAGAGCTGTTGAAGGAGACCTTCTTGTCCAGCCTGAAGGAGGAGCAGGCCCGCATCGTGGAGGCCAACGTTGCTCTCAAGGTCGAGCAAGACCAGCTCAAGGAGTCATTCATCGCCAACCTCAAGGAAGAGCAAGCCAGAATCATGGAGACCAATGTCGCATTGAAAGAAGAGCAGGACAAGCTCAAGGAGACATTCTTGGCCAATCTTCGTGAGGAAGAGGGCAGACTTAAGGAGTTGAATGATGCTCTCCGGGAAGAACAGCAGACGATTCGCGACACCTATCTCGCCAACCTTAGGGAGGAGGAGTCGCTTCTCAAGGAGATCAATGCCGGTCTTCGCGCTGACCAAGAGGCTCTTCGGGAAAGCTTCATCAAGAGCTTCCAGGAGGAGGAGCTGAGGCTGCGTGAGGTTAACGAGCAGTTGCGGACTGATAACGAGAAACTTCAGGCTACCCTTAAGGAGGAGAATGAAGCGCTCAAGGCTTCCCTGAAGGAAGAGTACGAGCAAGCCAAGGCTCAGCTCAAGGAGGAGCACGAACAGCTCAAGGCCCAACTCAAGGCTGAGCAGGAGGCTCTCAAGGCTACCTTCAAGACGGAGCAGGATGAGCTTCGTGCCGCTATGAAGGAGGACAATGATCGTCTCAAGATTGAGTTGCTTTCCAACCTGATGGAAGAGGAGACGAGAGTCAAGGACGCCAATGCTGCCCTCCGCGTTGAGCATGAGAACCTCAAGACTGCCTTTTTGGCTGAGCTCAAGGAGGAAGAGGAGCGTATCAAGACCAGCTTGGCGGATCTGCGCCTTGATCAAGAGGATCTCAATGCCCGCAAGAATAACCTCCGGTCTGAGCTGTCTACTCTTGAGGCTGCTTGCAAGTTCCGCCGGGAGGAAGTGGATGATCTCACGAATCAGTCTGAGCACATGGAGAGGAAGGTCCTGGAGGGAGTGATGGATCTGTCGAGGGTGCTGCTCATGAAGAAGACTGCCAGTGGCTTGCCTGAGAAGAAGGGTGCTGGTGCTGGTGCTGGTACTGGCAACAGGGAGTTTTCGTCTACGATGAGCAGGAAGAGGGTTGTTAGTGGACAGCAGCAGCAGCAGCAGCATGATGCTGCTGCTTCTACTACTCCGAACAGCAAGGCGAGGGGCACAGCGGCGGCGATTAATGCTGCGCTTGTTGCTCAGTCTGGTGTTGTTAGCCCGGAGTCGAGGAGAAACTTTAGCTTGACGCAGATCAGCAACAATGTTCCCGCTGGCGGCATGAAGAGGAGCCAGAGCGTTAGGACGCCTGCTGGCGGTGCTGCTGCGGCTAGGGGGATTAGGAAGGGCAGCTGGACTCCGATGGCGGCTACGCCTAAGAGCAGGGCTGCGAGTGGGAATCAGGTTGGGAAGGGGTATGGGGATTTGATGGGGGATCGGGAGGTGGATGTGGATGTGGATGTGGAGGGGGAGGAGGATAAGGAGAATGTGGATTTTGGGGTGAAGGAGGTGGAGGAGGTGGAGGAGGTGGAGGAGGAAGAGGTTTCTATCCATCATGAGGAGGAGGAGGAGGAGCCTGAGGCGGTAAAGGTGGATGAGATTCGTGTTGATGAGAGTGAGGGTGAGGATGAGGCTGAGGTTGAGTCGGTGGCTGGTGATGAGGCTACGCCTGCTGAAGAGGTTGAGCCTGCTGTTGAGGAGGAGGAGGAAAGCAGTGAGTCTGAAGATGAGGGGGAAGAGGTTGAGCAGAAGGAGGAAGATGTGGAGGTGCCTGCTGTTGCTGCTGGTGCCGATGTGGCTGCTTCTTCCCGCGCATCTTCGCCTGAGCTGGAGGAGGCGTCTTCTGAGTCTGAATCTGAAGATGACGAGGAGGAGGAGGTTGTGGAAGCCAAGGGTGAAGATACTACTCCTGCTGCTACTACTGTCACCGAGGCTACCGTGGATGAGACCACCGCTGATAACAAGGACACCAATGACGCCGCGTCGGAATTTTCTGATGACGATGACATTGAGCACGTCGAAGCCGAGTCTGAATCCGAGTCTGACTCTGACAATGATGAAAAAGAAGAAGAAGCCGAAGCAGAAGAGCCCACCCTCACGCAAGAAAAGTTGAGGAGAGCCAGCAATGGAACGACGGTTGTTACGCCCAATGTTGATGATGATAATGATGAGTTCACTGTCGATGAGGAGGATAGTAGTAGTGAGGAGTCGGACTTTGATGACGGGGCTAGTGATTGGACTAATCCCCCGGCTGCGATGGGGACTGAGACGAATATCACTGCGCTGGAGATTGAGGTTGGGACGCCGGTTGAGGAGAGGAAGAAGGAGGAGGGGGAGGGGAAGACTAAGGTTTGAGATTGAGTGGGGGTGAGGGGGCGGGGGAAATCATGGGCGGAGGATTGTTTCTTTTAGGTGTTGGCAATAATATGTGTTGGTTTTTTTTAGGAGGCGTGGGAATATGTTATGTTTATGGTTTTTTATTCGGGAAACAAAGTTTATGGAGTTATGGGAGGGAAATGGGGGGTTGTGTATATTTTTGTTGTTTTTCTTTTGTTTGTATTAATGATGGATGGGAGAAGAATATGGATAGCAATAGTGGGGGTGATGGGTAGGGAGGGTATGGGTGTATATCATTTGCTGTTAAGGTTTTTATGGGGGTTTATATATTACTCTTCCAAGTTTACTGTCTTGAGTATCTGTCGGTATGGAAATTGAATGAGTCTATATTATCGCTTTTGTCCAAGGTTATTTTGATGTGCTTGTGAATAAATGTCTATGGTCACTCTGTTTGTCATTGGTGTTGTTGCGGTCTCTTGAGGTTGTTGCAGCAATTGCAGTCTCTCGAAGTCGTTTGCTGGCGGAGCAAAAGGGTGGAACATGGAAGGGAATGAGTTTGACTATATCGCCATGTAAAGGCTCATACGAAGCAAAATGACATGACATGGGGTGGTGGTCGTTTCGGAAAAGAAAAAGAAAGCAAGGAAGGAGGCTATAAAAAACAAACGAAGAATCTTCCAATTCAGACAGAGATTGTCGAAATGGAGGATATGCCCACAGCCAGAATCGAACTGACGACCTCATCATTACTAGTGATACTAGTGATACTAGTGATACTAGTGATACTAGTGATACTAGTGATACTAGTGATGCGCTCTACCACTGAGCCATGCGGGCAGGGATTATGTAATCACTTGGTGAGGTCTTGGTTCGGGATGTGGGCTCATTGGGGCCGCAGAGTAGAATGCTTGATCTGGTCTTGGGAGATAGGGGTGGGGAAGGTGTGGTCAGAAATCCAGGTAGGTTGGGGCTCTTAATGAGGTGCTCTAGGGCGCGTGATGATTGAGATTGTCATTGGATGCGCTCTGGTTGGAAAGAGCTTGGGTGTTTAGGTAAGGAAGCTGTGGTGGTTGGTATAGCTGATGTCGGGAGTGGTGAGGATAAGTGGTGAGGATGGCGTTACCGTTGGGTGTGTCGGCGGCGGGAGGAAACGGGGGAGAGAGGAACGGATGAGGTAGTAATGTATAAATTGCCATTTCATTCAGGGCGGTTATAAAGGTTGAACCAAATCTAACAATATCCCTAGTCGCTTTTAAGTTATAATACCTAAAGTAGCCCCTAACAACGACCAACAACATCTATAAAAGAACTCACATAACCCCCTTGTGTAATAAACCCCCTATCCAACATGCCAGACACCCTGCTCCGAAGACCCGTGAAAAACATTCCTAGGTGGCTTTCCCACCCCTCTTACATAGACAATAAAGACACACAGACACACCTATCACACTTACATAGGCCCAAACTGATTCAACAAACTCCAGACACTATCATTCCCAAAATCACCCTCAAACTGCTGCCAACTCCCCAACCCCCCTTGACCCTGCTGCTGTCCTTGTCCTTGCCCTCCCATCCCCTGCTGCTGCTGCTGAACCTGCTCTCCCCTCCCCCCAACCGCCGCCCCCAACCCCGGCACAGTACCAGCAGCAGTCCTAGCGTCCCACCCCATCCCGGAATCCCCCACCCCAACCAAATCATTAAATATCAAATCGTGCGTCGGGTATATCGGCTGCAGCGAAGCCCAGTTGAAGTCGCTCGGCAGCGTCCAATCCAGCTGTTGCTGCCCTCCTCCACCAGGGCCAGGAGGGTGAGGGTAAAAGTTGTGGTCGGTGGTGGGGGTGACAGAATGGGCACTTCCTGATTGGGAGAAGTCCAAGGGGCCGAGGGGGATTTGTAAGGGGTTTGAGTTGGGGTTGGGGGAGATGGTGCTGTTTCCGGTGCCAGTGGAGGAGGATGATCGGGAGGCGGTGCGGTGCGGGGTGTGAGTTTCCCAGTGGTGACCGCCGCCGCCGCCGCCACTTCCGCCTACGTTGGTGGTACCGGTGGAGGAGGAGGATTGGGACATGGGGTTTGCTTTTGAGGTTGTTATTGTTGTTGCTGTGGTGGGAGGGCTGGCATCGGAGGAAATAGAGCGGGATTTGGGGACACCGTTGGAGACTGAGGCGAGGGAGCGTCGTAGGCGGAGACGGATGGCGTGGAGGACGCCCAAGGCGGCTTTGGCGAGGGCGTTGCGTTCGGACATTGCTTCGAAGCGCTCGACTGCCCATTGGAAGTGTTGGAGGGCGGATTGGACTAGTTCTGGGTGCTCGCGGGGGAAGAGGATGTAGATTGCTGCCATGAGGACGATGGCGTCGAAGGTGCCGAAGAAGAGGGCGAATCTGGGATGGGTTAGACATGGGTACAAAGGGGGGAAGGGGGTAAACGTACGTCTTGTACAATGCCGGCCTCAGCGCCATAAAATGCAGCCTTTGTGCATTCAGCATACCCAGACTCGCCTTGAGCGCCTCAGTGCGACTCTTTGGTCTTGTAAAAATATACGGCCTATGCAGCGCCATGAGCTCAAAAGACGAAAGCTGCGGCAGAATAACCCTCGCCAGCGGCAGCCAGTAACAATCCTCCCTATCATCCCACCTAGTATCCGGATTCTCCAGCCTAAAAAACGGCGGCGTCTTCCTCTCAATAGAAACAACCTCCTCATGAAGCCTGTCCACCCGTCCAAAATCCCTCGGGCACGCCCCCTCCTTCTCCAGCTCCAAAATCTCCCTCATAGGCGCCATGATGTGATACGCCCACAGCGCTCTCGTCAACGGCGTAGGCGGCTCATTCTCCCCCCGTTCCACAATCGGCATCAGCTCTCCCGCCGGACTGACAGCACCCGGCATATCCCCCTTGGCATCAACCGGCAAGCTCGGCGGCACCGCCGTCAAGTTGATCGTCGTCGGCCTGCCCAGCACACCCGCCATGTGCACATCCCACACCACCAGCGTCATCCATATTTTCCTTCGTCTCTGCACCTCCCACTGCACCTCCAACACCTCCTTCAACGTCGCCCCCGTCGGCGGCTTCGGATCAAGACTATCCCTATGCAACCCAATCTCCTGCGCATCCCGAATCGCACCCCCAATCGCATGCCAGCTCTCCGTAACCAACCCGACATATTTAAGGAAACTCGCCCTGGCAAACCCAGCCAAGACCGTCGTAAGCGTCATCCCCCTCTTCCCCAGCACTTGCAGCACCTGCAGCCCTGACTCGGAGTAATCACTCGCCAGATCCTCAAACGTCATGTTCAACCCCGCATACAACAGCCCCTCAAACTCTTTATCGTCTGAGGACAGCGTCAAAAGCGCAATGGCAATAATATTGAACAGCAACCCCGGAAACGGCCTCAGCGAAAGCGGGATCTGCGAGGGCCCCCCCTGGCTGAGGAGGGAAAAGGGGAGGGTGTACCACTGCGCGAGGAGACTATCAAACAGCGTCCGGTCGAGGGCGTAGTACTGCCAATTGAACTCGCGAAAGTAGATGTCGACCAGCTTCTCGATGTGGATTCTCGCGGGAAGTTGTCGGATCAAGGATTTGTATTTCTCTCTGGTTAGCCCGTCAGAGATGGAAGGGGTGGTTTGATCGAGTGTGGAGGGGTGCCCTGGAGGAGGGGGAAGGTCATCGCCGGTGGTGGACTCTTCGATCTTGCGGAGGAAACCGAGGGTGCCGGCGCCGGAGTAGCCAAAGGTTTCGGAGGCGACTTTGGTGACGGGTTTCCCCCCGTTGGTGGCGGCGTGCTGCTCGGAGGAGAGTTCGCTGCCGGTGTGGTGGGTTGTGGTGGAGGAGCCGGAGGAGGTGTTGGTGATGGGGGATTTGCCCATGTCTGGGGAGGTGGCTGTGGTTGTTGAGCCTGACCCCGAGCCAGAGTTTGAGACCCCTCCACCAGCGTCTGCGGTATCTGCTGTGCCATTTGTGAGCCCGGCAAGCTGTTGTCGTCGTTTTTGCTCCCTTGCCGTCGGTGCGCCGGTTTCGTAATGGCACGCGCTGTGCTTGTTCCTCGAGATACAGTTCGTGCAGGGGAGTTGTCGGTCACACTGGTCGGTTGTTTGTTCATCAGCGCTTGTTGGTCTGACAACTGAGGAACAATAGAACATACCTTTTGCTTCCTCCTATGACACTCTGTGCAAGAGATGACTATCCTCCTCCTCTTCCTTGGCGGCGGTCGGGCCGGCGCATTGTCTTCGACTGCCGCGGCAGCACTATTCAGCCCGGCGTCAGGGTACTCGGACGAGGAACCGTTGGCGGCAGGGGCCCAACCGGGACTGGAAGTGGACATCAGATCAACTAGGGAATGCGCTGCCGGAGAGGATCCACCAGAGAGGGCGGAGAACGGGGGGAATGGGTGCGGTGCGCAACGGCGTCCCGGGCGATGGAGCGGGCGGACTCAGGTCCGGGAAGTGGAGTAAAGAACACGGACGAGATCGCCGGCCCACGTCGGACTCTTGTCGTCGCAACTCAAAGAGGGATAAGCTTAAGATTATAGTAAAAAGTCAATTGGGATTCCAGGGTTTGACACGCAGGCTAGGCGCATAGACAAGGTCGGTAAACTCGATGATCGCTGATCGCTCTCGCTTGATGTTGGGGGTTGGATTGCGATGCAGGTCGCCATCAAAGGAAAGACATGACACCGGTCCCATCAATGAACGAGAAGGTCCCAAAAGTGGGGGGGACAATCCGATCCGTCCGATGTCATTCGCCAAGGCTCACCTATGTACACAGTAAGACTGCTGTCCCGCCTTCCCAGTAGGGCCGTTAACTCCGGGCCCTGGAGGCTGGACGTGTCTTTTAAGCAAGTCAGACAAACCAGATACACAAATCCCTCCGATTGGCGCTTTCGTGGGACAGTAATTATGTTGTGAAATAGCGGGCGACTGACGGACGAGTCCGCATGCAAGTCATCCGGTCTGTATTGTTCCGGGACCCGACTACTAATGATTCTAATCATAGGTATTGTTGTTCGCACACAGTTCATAGCTCATGGGTTACACGCTCACTCATGCCAAATCTAAATGTCGCCAAACGCCCCCCTCCATCCGTCACCTTCCCCTGATGTGTCCATCCATCCCATCCCCAGCCCTAGTCCCAGCCCGTCCAACCTCTCGTCCCTTCCAAAGACCTGCCAGACCTGTCCCAGGCGGCAAGACTTGCTACAAGTTCGTACCCAAAACAAAGCATCACAAGTTTCGAGCCATATGTATCCATCCTATCCTATCCTATCCGCTTATCCCGTCGCTAATCCCACAATTCATCCCTTTTAACCCAGCCGTGAAAGGTACGCCTTCCACGCTTTCCTCCTGTAGCGCTCGGCCTCCGAAGGCGGGTCCGCAGCCTGGATGATACCACGTCCCACGATGACAATGTCAGTTCCGAGGATGTTGATGAGCTTGGCAGGCGTGTTGTACTGCTGGCCCAGGCCGTCGCCCTCGACGTGTCCGTTCTCCTCTTCGCCAGGTGGTGGCAGCTTGCAGCCAGGAGTCATGTGGATGAAGTTGTCATCTGGTGCCGAGTTCAGGGCTTCTTGAGCCACGTAGCCCATGACAAAGCCCTTGTGCTCCCGAGCGGCCTCCACGCACGCCTGCGTGTAGTCCTTGGTCATGAGGCAGCCCTTGGACGACATCTGCGCCAACAGGAGCAGTCCACGGTCCATGGGCGGCTCCTCAATGCCCGGAAACACAAGCTCATCGCCGTGCTCATTAGTTTTGGCCAACCGCGGTGAGTCAGCAGGCTCGAAGGACTGAGTAACGGTAGTGATGGAGACGATGCTTCCTTTTCGCCCGTCAGCGTCCCTGTCATCATCC